AGAAGTACAGCAGCAAGACCAATGACAAATCCCCGTTTTCTCTCCACTTTCCTCATCCTCCTTGTCTTCGCCAATCTTATTCTTCCTCCAAATAATAATAATAAGAACGAGTGGTTGAACCAGAATCATATCTGAAGTTCCCTCTTAGTGCCAACACAACATTAGGTCCACCATAGCCATGGCTTCCCCTTGACCTTCCTCTAACATGCCAAGGCTATGGCGGCCTCTTCCCTCCTGTGCAAAAGACAACTCAAAGCAGCTATGGTCGCTGCTCTTCAGGCCGCCATGCCTGACTCTGCCTTGAAGCTTCATTGGAGCGGCACTGCCCCAACTGGGGCCTTCCAGACTAGTGCCTAGCAAGGTGATGAAGATGGTGTCCACCATAGCCAGGTAGGTACCTCGCCGCTCTCCTCCTTCGCCCCCTTCTTCCTCCTCCTCAAGTTGGGCTGCTCACCATAGCCAGGCTGAGCGCCCAGCTGGTCTTCGTCCTCCCAGGCAGCGCTCCGAGTCCAAGCTCCCTGCTCAAGCAGTATGTCGGCCAACCTTGCACACTGCAAACGAGGACTAGCTACTCGCTCCTTCCTTCTGGAGATATAGCGACCTAGTTACCTCTTGGGTGGTGACTTCCAGGTCGCACGGCCTCCAAGCAACCGGTACCTCCTCCCTTTCGGAGGGAAACACCATTGCAGGCTCTGATATCGTCCGTACAGGCCCTAGACTCAGGTTACTTGGACTGGTACCCGCCTACCTCTAGCCTACCACTACTGGGACTCTAAAAATGCCAATTTTTTGTCTTCTTCTGCTCAACCTCGAGTACCCGACACATCTACTACTACTTGAGTGGTACCGGCCTACCTTCTACTTGAGTGTTTTTTCCCACTGTTCTAAGTGTCGCGGTCCTACCCCCGCTACTTGAGTGTTTTTCCCCGCTGCAACCCTCAAAGTCACGGTCACAGGTAAGTACCGGCCCTGCAGGGCCTCCAAATGAACAAGTACCCTTGTGGGTCACACACACACTCAGGCCGACAAGCACTCAGACAGACACGCAGACCATCAGGCATGCACACACACAGACATAGAAAACTCAGCAGAATGTGGGAATCTCAGCAAGGCATGCATTCCAGCGGCAATACCCAGAAATCAGCAGTGTTCTCGGTCTTTGTTTTGGCGGGTCATTACATACCCATCGCCGCCGACTTTCAGGGTTTCCTTAGGGACTGATTCACTCTGCGTAGATTGACCGAACTCAGAAACCCTTGAACTTTCGACAATCATGTTTTTCACCTGATTTTTTCTTACTTCTGATATCTCCAGCTGTTTTCAAACAGCGTTCTTCAACTTACAGAACGTTCCGCTACACCCTGAAGATCAATGGCAAACAATAGCACTTCGTCTCCAGCATGCTGCGTGCCTGGAGAGGCGTTTGCAACATTCATTTTGTTTGGTCTCGTCGCTTCGGTGAACCACTTGAGCCCTGCTCCATTTTCGGCGCGATGAAGCTAGATCAGTGAGCTATTACGGTTTCTTCGAAGGATGGCTGCTTCCAAGCCCACCTCCTGGTAAGAGAACTTTACACCTCCCCCCAACTCCGAAGAATGTACGTCTAGACCTACAGTGAACATGTGATGCATTTCTCCATGGACTATATCTTCTACTTTCCTGCCAGCGCAATGCAAAGCTATAGTAAAGGTGCACGGGGTAAACCGTCTAGCTGCTGGTACTCCGCATCTTGACAGAGAATTCAATTTCACTGAGCCCATGTTGGAGTCAGCAGGGCAGTCGTTACACCATTCGTATAGGTTGCTACTTATGCGACACAATTGTGTTAACTGAAATAAACTTCGAACATCATTTGAACCAAGGCCTTCCTCCTTCGTGTCGCCACTAAGTTCAGACTATATCATCATCCCAAGCAGGGATGCCTGGCGTGTAGTCGTTGAGGGGTGCAGCACATGTATCAACCCATGTATGACGTCCCTGCTGATTGTCCGCACCGACACATTCATTCAATTTCATTTTTTTGCTTGCATCACTCAGTCGGAGGTTCCAGTAGAGTGTGAGAAACTCTCTAGCATGTGACATCACTTCCGAGCCAAAGATTGGTATCACAAACAACTCGTCACCAGAATGACCTCTATGTTTGCACCTAAATCATTTCTTCACAATTACACAGATTTGCTAGCATGAACTGGCACTGTTTGTTTGTTGAGTAGACAGACTAAGAGTTGAACAAGCACTTGGGAGAGCACGTGGGCAACTGGGCAGATATAAACACACGAATAAACAGACAGACAAACGGATTGACAGACCAAAAGAAAGAAAGTTCAATAGGCAGATATAGAGGGAACAAAGGCTTTGGTGGCCCCCAGAATCTCTGCAATGGCCCCACTGCTTCAAGATAGATGAACCTGGATGGAATCAACATTGATCCCAGTAGTACACCAGATGGATAAACCTTGATCTCAGGACTCAGGATACAGAGGACGTTACAAACGTTCAGGGACACCAAGGTCTTGTGCCATGTACATTATTCTTACTGCATCCTTCACTGTGAGATCTAAGCAGCGGGTTTAGCTGCTGCAGTAATTTCATTCTGGTTTGCTGACTCTCAAGGGCATTCAGACAATGGATACGCCTCCTCTTCTTTCATGAGGTCACATACACCCAAGTATGGATTCGGCAGCTAGGACGGAACAGAGAAGTTCGCTAAACTCTTCGATAACAATGACAACAAAGTGCTTTCGGCACCTGAGGGGTAAAAATATATCTCGGTGTCCTGGCATGTGGTCAGCTCTTGGAGACACACGCTACCACAGATGCTATATGGTGTGAAAAATTCTCAAAACTGTTGAATCTGTTTTGACCATAGTTGCGGTGCACCAATGTGGTGCGCTATGCGCTGTGGCACACCGTGTGTCGTGTGTCCGCCAGCGGAGTGCGCAACAATGTGCTATGCGTGCGCATCGATGTGCTATGTGCGCACATCGATGCGCGATGTGCAATGCGCGGTGCGCTGGATAGTGCGCGCAGCGCGCACATCGGTGCACATGGTGCACACAGGTATTCTTTTTGTGTGAGGGGGTGGGGGGGGGGGGGGGGGACAGTCACCAGGGCTGCATGGACCTATTGGACCGTTTTCTTTTTTCTTTTTTTTTACTTTTGTGAACTGCGTCACAGCAGTACTGTGAAAACAGTCGATATGAGGCTTGCAACGGCACGAGGACTACCCTTGCCATCTTCCAAGTTGCTGTTACCATCTTCCACCAGTTAACGTTGTCATCTTCCAAGTTGATGTTTCCATTTACCGTTACTGTTGCCATCTTCCAAGTTGCAGTTACCATCTTTCACATGACCAGACGATCACCAGACACCTAAAGTAGCGAAATCGCGATTACCAGTGCCGACGAAACAAGCGGAGATGGCAGAGGGAGTGAGGATGGATGAATGACAAGAAAAGAGAGAAGTGAGAGGGGACGAAAACGAAGAGGTGTGGAGTTTCAGGGTGCAGGAGATCGATGGCGATGGAGGGGTGGAGTTTGGGGGTGGAGGAGAACGATGACGATGGACGGGTGAGGGGGAATGAACACGACGGAGAGAAGAACGATGACGATGGGGGGCTGAGGGGGAATGAAAATGATGGGGGTTGGGGGTGGAGGAGAATGCTGGCGATGGAGGAGAACGATGGTGATGGAGGAGAATGATGACAATGGCGGAGAACGATGACGATGGGGGGACGGTGGAAAGACGAGGGTGGGGGAAGAGAAGAACGAAGACAAGCACGACGGCAAGCGAAGGAGGAGGAGAACTATGACAAAGTAGAGGAAGAGGAGGATAACGATGACGAGGGAAGAGGGGGAAGGGAGGAGGGAGGAGGGGACCAATGACAAAGTAGGGAGGTGGGAGGGTGATCGGACCTCACCAAAAAAAAAAAAAAAAGCCGTCAGTGGTGATGCAATGAACCCAGTCTCGATGAGAAGCCAATCAATGATGTAATACAAGTCTGATCCATGCGCTTATCATGAAGCCTCCAGAGTCCAAAGTCGATCACAAGTCCGTCTCCCAATTATATAGAGGGCCAGAAGCATTGTCCCATGAGAAGAGCATGAGGAGAGATCGACGGTGATAGGACTTTGAAAATATGATGGGGAGGGTTATCAGGATTCCAAAAAAGAAAAATGGCCGAAGACGATGGAGGAGGGATGGAGGAGGAGAGACGAGGGAAGAGGGACGAGGGAAGATGCAGAAGGACACCGATGACAGAGGGAAGATGGAGGAGGAGAGTGAGGAGGGAGGAGGGGGGAGGGAAGATGGACGAGGAGACCGATGAGGGAAGAGGGAGGAGGGAAGACGACAACAATGCTGCCTCCTTCGGCTCCTTCCCGCTGCCTCCTTTGAACTGCTGTCTGCAGCTTTGCTGGGTCTGGCTGAACGAGGATGCCAGAAGCTGCTTCGTGCTGCACAGGAGCTGGAAAGATGACGACTGCAGCGGACAAGGGCAACACACAGCGGCTGCGAAGGAGGACGTACTCGTGAGGGCACCAAGGTGGAGTACTGGCCAGCGTGGGGTAGGTCTGAGCAGTTCAAAATTGAGCTGCTCAGATCTCCCCGGTATTTTTTTTCAGGGCCCGCGCACGGCCTCAAAAAAAAAATTGCCGCTGCTGGTACCAGTTCGCGCTAAGTGGCAGTCACGCCCACAACCACCCCCACCCCCCAACTTTTTTGTTTTTTTTTACGACCCCTTGTTTTTGGGGCGCGCCGCACGCGGTGCACGCGCATCCTGCGCTACGGGCAATGCAGCACATCTTGATGCGCCGCATGTATGATTTTGACTTATCTTTCTGCTGTGGCTTTATGTTCTGCGCTAGGCAACCGTGCAATTGCAGCAGGACCAGGAGCCATAATGGAAAGGGAAATGGCTCAAGAATGGAATAGGAAATGGATCTACATGGGAAAGGGAACGCTTCAGAAGAAGCCTTAATGGAAGAAGGCAAGAAACTCACTTTAACATGTCCATCAGGAAGCGTAAATTGTCATCAAATGAAGACTGCACAAACGCACGCAGCAAGTCATAACCAACCAACGCATTGAAGAGTGAACAACTTGTACCTGACGGGAGGTAGGTCATACAGTGAGAGAGAAAGTCTACACAGAGACAAACACAAAGAAAGACAGTCACAGAGAGAGACAGAGGGAGAGAGAGGGGGGCAGACAGAGAGAAAATATGCCTAGCACACCCCCCTGTATTCAGGAACATTCATGACAATGCCCTGTCAAATCCCTAAAACGCCTGTACTGAAAACTCACCAACAGACAAACCAGAAAAGGACATCCGTTAAAATTGGAACGATACAGATAAGATTAGCATGGCCCCTGCGCAAGGATGACACACATAAATCAAGAAATGGTCCAATTTTAAAAATAAAAAAAAATCAGGAAAGGGAAAGCCTTGCGCTGAAACTCCAACTCAAAACTGCTTTCATGTTTGGCATCCTTCAGGGAACCTTCATGATTTCAATTATCAAAGGTTTAAGAGTTGTATGCTGTGTAGCACACCGAACATGTTCGGAGCTTTCTCGAGCGCCCGAACAAGATCGGGTGTTCGGCCGAACTTTGTTTTTTTTTTCCTTTGAATATTTTTTTTCGTTTTTTTTCGTTTTTTTCGTTTTTTTCGTTTTTCTTAATTTTTAACTCGTGTTTGGCTAAGAATTTGAACATGCCTCCCAGGCAAAAGTTGTTTGTATTATTATTTTACATAACTTTTTTTTCAGATTTTCTGATTTTATTTATTATTATTATTTTTTATGTTCACATTCGGAGGGTTTTGGCGCACATTCGCGTTCGGTCGCCGAACACGAACACGATGCTACGCAGGTTGTATGTGTGCTGCCATGCTCGCTATACACAACTCTCACAGAAAAACACGAGTGCCAGACTGTTTCATCGGACCATCACCAAGTCATTAGGAGGTTGAAGCCCGACAGTATGCCCACAAGGCATTTGACGATCCGTGTGTGTGTGTGTGTGTGTGTGTGTGTGTGTGTGTGTGTGTGTGTGTGTGTGTGTGTGTGTGTGTGTGTGTGTGTGTGTGTGTG